CTGAGTAGGGGAAAAACATTGGATCAACAATGACCCAGATTCTACAATACACCCGAGAAAAGTATTAAAATGAAACAGATATTAAACAGGCAGAAGTGTAAAAGTGAATGTGGATGCTGCTGACTGAGGAGGCCGCGCAGAGAGATGTGCTTGTGTTCGTGCAGATTTACGGCTTGGCGGAGAGGTAAAGCCAGTAAGAAAAATCACACAACGATCAAACAATAATGGAAGCAATTCCCGGCTGCCTTTCCTGCCAAAGCTAATTCACTGGGTTTTAACCACCCAACTTCAGGCCAAGAAAAATTAACTTGCAGCCGTTAGCGAACAAAGAGAGCTCAGCACCCCCCCTTCCCCCCCCCGTACTGGCAGCTGTCTGCAGCAGTGCGGGGTGTCAACGCCGTGCTGACAGACCAGTCATTTACAAGACAGGCGCTGGCCCCCCGCAGCAAGGGCTATTGCTTTCAGGACCATTAACATATCGCCGACAGACACGGCCACCATCACTTCACAGGCAGCTCTCTTCGAGAGGATCAGCTCGTCACACATGGCCACAGCGAATGTGATGAGGCCAGACCGGCCCATCAGAGGGGATTCTAATCGGAAGAGTCTTCTACCGTCTTTGCATAGACAGAGGCAGATTAAGATGCTGGACGCTGTTGCTCACCTGTGTCACTGTGTTCATCTGAGTCATTGCTAGACCTGGCAGTGCTAAGTAATGGGTGGCCTCCCGGGGCGAGCCTGCGGCCCAAGGCTAGAGAGCCCCCCCGCGATGCTTTGGTCTTCTGCTTCTGCTGGGACACGCCGTGGACCAGCTTGGAGCTAAACGTCGCTGCCCGCACCCCGGGCTTGCAGCATCGTGCCTTAATCTGGGCGGGAACGAGGGCATGGTTACACAACAGAATATTCTGGAAATGGTACCTACCCCTAACAAGTGACAGCAGGGCGTTGGAACACCGACCTGTGTGGCACCGAGACGCTCAAAACTCTGGTTGGACAGCTTCTTCTTTTTGAGGTGCACCTCTCCACAGCCAATCAGGATCTCAGGCTGCAGACTGAGCCCCGCCCCCAGAGACCTGAGTGGGGCAGCAGAGGGAGGTGTTGAGCAGAATGGAACAGCTTACAAACTAATGAATAAAATATGGGAAGAAACAGAGAGGCCATATTGATCCTAATAAAATTTCTTTTCCTTTGATGGCAGAGGTCTGTATATTGCAATCATCTCCGCAGCACCCTGCGATTTCACAGTAAACCGAGAAATGTAAGAGCCTTGTGGGTCTGCTAGTGGCCTGCAGGCTTTGAGTTGCACTACTAGGCGACGTGTCTATGTGACTGAGTATGCTGTAAATCTGCCTGCTTACATCACTTCCTGCACTGGCATGTTCAAAGAGTGGGATCTACTGCCAAGTTCCCAGAAACAGGGGGTTTTGATTGACAGGTGGGTGGCAGTGGCATGTGACTGTGCAGAGCCAATGGGCAGCCCTCACCCTCATTAATGCAGCCTGCCAGCAGTGCTCCCTATCCAGTCTGGCCTTGTGGCCGGTGAGTAACACAGAGTGACTAATCAAACAGAATTGCACCCGGGAAGGGGTGGGGGTGTTTTTAGGTGGCGTTCCATGTGCCTTGCAGGGGCCATTCTGAAACTCCATCAGTGTTGGTACACATTCCTACAGCCGGCCGATTGCGATACTCAGTCTGGCATATGCAATAGGACAAGCACACTCTGCCCCTAAAGGCTCCACCCACGAGATTGGGGTGGCTGGCTGCTTGATGCTTAGTCTGGCACCTGCTCTACAGGGACATGCTCTACTCCTAAAGGTCCCTCCTCAAAGGCCTTGGGGGGGTGGGGGGTTCTGGCTAATTAATACTATGAAGTAATTAGTCTAACAGAACTGACCCAGTGACCTCCATTAACAACAGCCGAAACATCTGCAACCCTGATGTTTTCCCAGCATGCAACGCTCCCCCTAAGGTCTACCCAGGGCTAAGTTGCCGCTCTGAAGTTTACCCAGCATGCCCCAGTCGTAGCCCTGAGGTATTTCCCATATTCCACTTCTGCTCAGCATGTTTATCCGTCACTATAATTACTGCCGAAGGTGGGCTGGCCGATGCGGCCCGTCAGAGCAGAGAGGCTAGGTCCGATGGGACCCAAAGAGCCTCTTCCAGCGGACCTGCAGTTGCCCTACATTCCCAGCCTTGTGGCCATGAGGCTGAGTTTCTGGGTCAGAGAGCTGTCAGCTATGTGAGGCGAGGGGTAGGCCACGCAGACTGTGCGGCCACACAATCGATACAGCGAAGGCGTCATGGGGTTCCAGAGGCAGAGCCAGCTCAACAAGCCATTACCGGGGTCTATGGCAACACCCCTACCCCGATCTGGGGTGAGAGAAGGGAGGCGCGTTGGGGCTGACCTGATGTTGCGCGGGGCCTCTGTCAGAGCCTGATGGCCTGTACCAAGGGTGGACTTGCGTTTTCGTGGCCGTCCAGGTCCTCGACGGGCAGGGCTGCGAGGAATCTCCTCAATGCTGTGATAACATACAAATCTGTTCATGCAATGCAAACTCTCTTAAATGGCGTCAGGAAACTTTTTTGAATAGACAAGTCTTTGTGACAGTTCTTTGTGACACTTGTTCTGAAAAGGTGTTATATAAATAAATTACTTATTAAAGCTGAAGTGGTCTGTGTAAACAGGGGTCAGGGAGGAGTCTGTGTGAAGCAGTTAGCAGTCTGTGGGGGAGTTTGAGGGGAGTCTGTGTGATGTAGTCTGTGGTCTTAGGAGGGGTTTGAGGCTGGTCTATGTGAAGCAGTCGGTCTGTGGGGGGGTTTAGGGTGCTCTGCATAAAGGCTGCCTGCTCACTTCTGTTCCTGCTTCCTCTGCAGCTTCACCAGCTCCCTCTGCTTCTCCTTATAGCGCCGTTGCAGTTCTGCCAATCGCACACGCATGGCCAGTTCCTGCGCCCCCATGGTCTCCATGGCACCCTTCACTGGGCAGACCTGATGCACCCACACCCATGCCCCACCTAGTTAGGTCAACCAGCTTGAACGAGGATGCTGGCTACTGAACTCAGGTCAGATCGGCGTGCATCTCCTACCGGCTCGTGTCGAGGGGTCCAGGTGCACTTTCTGCGCAGATTGAGGGTCCTGCGGGCAGAGGGCTCTGCTCCGGCTTCCACATCCCCCTGGGGCACCACCTCCAGGGCACGGGCGGTAGCCAAGGTGGCGAGATTATGGAGGCCGGGGGTTGATGGATACTCCTCTGCAAAGCAAAGATGCAGCAGAGCGATTGTTAGCCAATGCACCCTCCATTGCCCGGAGTCTGCTGGGGTTACGAGGGCTTTAAGATATGAGCCAAACCCCTCGCACCAGGACAGAGGAAGGCAAGCATATAGTCTGTCTGGGGATGAGGAAGAGTGGATATAACAAACACTGCAGCACAAGCAGGAGAGTGTGGAGTATAAAACGTGCGTTGCTGGTATGAGCGAGGACAAGCATGCAGGAGAGAATGTTTTCCTCCCAACTGCAGTTTGACCACAGCCTACAACATGTGGCAAGTCCATTTGTCCCAGACAGGGAGTGGGGCGGCAACCCAGCTTAGTGATATTGCCCCATCTGCCACATCCATGGTGGGGGTCGGTGTGGACGGCTTTAATGCCAAAGGACACAAGAGCGTGTAAGTACAACCGACGGGCCGGATGGTCTAAAGGCCCCTGATTGGCCAGACAGAGCATTAAGGTCTTTAAAATCGATCTGAGGCCACTGAGGAGGCACTGAAGAAACTCCAATCTGAGTCTCCAGAGAGGCTCTGCTCCGTAAAGGTGGTGTGTGTGTGTTTGTGTGTGTGTGTGCGAGCGGGTTTACCTATCCTTATGGGGACATAATGTCCCCATAACGTGATAAATATCAGTTTTTTTCCCTTATGGGAACTGGTTTCCTGGTCCCCATAAGGATATGTTTACCCTACATGTGTGTGTGTGTGTGTGTGTGTGCGTGTGTGTGTACACTTGGGTGCATGCTGCAGCTCACCATGACTGTCCCGGTCCCACTGCCATGACTCCAGTTCCGCCAGCTCACTCAGTAGCTCCATGCCGCGGCTGCGTGGGCAGGGCAGGGCCACAGGGGCAGGAGGAGGCGTGTCCCCACCAGCACAGAAGGCAGCGGCAATTAGCAGCTCCAGGCTCCAGCAGCTGAGGAAGGAGGCTTGGGGGGACCCCATCACAGGGGAGGGGGGGGTGCAGGCAGGAACGCAGCCCAAGTCAGGGGACACCGCCCTGGACTCCCCAAGCATGCATCCTTCTGCACAATGGTCGGGGTCCACATGGCCATAGGTGACCACTTGCCATCCTTCCTCTACTCCTTCCTGGGTTGCTGCATCCTCACTTGGGTCCACTTGCATAACCTCCCCTTCTTGGTAGGGGGTGACGCTCTGGGCCTTGTCTAAAGCAGTAAGCTCCTCATGGACCGGCCCCTCTGCCAAACGGCAGCCTCTGAACAGCTCATCTGGTTCTGGCTGAGGCATGACACTGACCTCCACTTCCCCAGGCTGCTCTGCCTCTGCCTCCTGTTGCTCCAGGTCCACCCCAGCTGCTGTGGCACGCTCAACCTCCTCTGCCAACGTGGATGCAGGAGGTGGGGCCGGATCCAGGGGCTCCACCTGTACCGCCTCCAGGTCGGCAGGCTCGGCCAATGGGCCTTCATGAGGGGAGGGGCCGCCCCGGTAGCCTATGACGATGGCAGGGTATGTGTACCCAGGTGGCAAGTCTGAAGCAGAGGAAGAGAAGTAGAGGATGAGAAGAGAAAGAGAGCCGGAAAAGTAACCCACTCGTTCATGCTGTGAGGCCC